CTTTCCCTTATGTCCTTCTTGTTTATGAGACTTGTTAGCAAAGGCAACACGTGCTGTTAACTGGAAACAGTCAGTGGGTTCTCCTTTGAGAGCTGGCAACAGAAGATAGGTCCAGCAAACAGAATTTAAAATGAAAAAAAGGGGCACTGAAGTGTTGTCTCCAAGCTTGAGCAATAGCCACAACAATGGCACCTTGCATCATTTCACAGCTCTTTGATCTCCTGAATTTAGAATTAAGCCTGTTGTTTTTCCAGTTATTTCTCTAATCAACTGCTAACAGCAGTAAGGGGAGTGCTAGGTGACTTTGGAGTTGATACCTCTGTAACTAAGGAATTTAATGCTGCTGGACACCTGCATTTCTTGTGGCACAGTTTACTGTTTGTTCAGGCCACCAGCTGCCCCAGGACCTTCTCCTGCATAGTGTGGTGCAGTGTTCACACAATCCACGTGCCCTACAACTTTGTGGCATCTTCGAAATGAGCATCCACATGTCCTCTTCAGGGATTCTCCTGAAAGCAGCTGGCCTGGTGTCTAATGGGAGGAACTGGTATGTTATAGCAGTGACATGACAGCATCCTGAAACGTGACAGAGAGCAAATAGGTGCTGTAGTGAGCTCTCAGGGCAAAATGCCATCAGAGGACCACATGTCCTCAGGAGTGTACTGACTGGACAAGTGGAGAGCTCGTCTGATCCAGGAGGAATTTGAAAACTTAACTTTTAACTGCAGAGTAACTTTTTAATGCCAGTGTTTTAAAAATGAAAGTATTCTCTGAGGAAGTGCTGTTTTGGTGGTGTTTGCATTCTGAAACTGGGGGATCACTTAAAGCTCCTCCAATAACAGGAGTTTTTCCCAAATAAGAAAGCCACACTGAGGAATGCTGAGATGTGATCCACAAGAAAGAGAGACTGGAACCACTTGGTAACAATTTTGAGTGGCTGCAGCAGGATGTTTAAGCTGATCAGTGCCAGAACTGCTGCTACACCCATGTCACCATTTCAGTATGCCAAGTAGCCCAGGCTGCAAATGCAGGTATTTATTGAAAGCATGGTGGAGCTGTGGCAGGAAGAGATTTTTATTGCTCAGGCTGATGTGCATAGTGAAGGGACTGGGACATGGGATTGCAGGGTGCATAGAAGGCCATTCTGGGCTAACAGGAGTGTACCCCTGTAGGTTATAAACCAAACTTGATATCATTTTTGCAGGACAGCAGCTGACCTCTCACAGTGCTGTAAGAATTTTCTTTGCTTGCCTCTCAGGGACCAGAAGCCCTTCCCTTGGGTCAGTCTTCCACACGCTGCTGGTTGTATTTACCTGTCCGTGTGCAGATTTGTCAGGAACTCCTCTCAATTTGCTTTGTTCTCTTTTGTTGTCCCTAGTGGCAGGGGAGGCCAAATACAAAGACATTTCCTGGTTTTCCCCCAATGGTGAGAAGCTGACGCCGAACCAGCAGCGCATCTCGGTGGTGCGAAACGATGACTTCTCCTCCAGCCTCACCATCTACAACGCCAACATTGATGATGCTGGCATCTACAAGTGTGTGGTCAGCAGTGCAGAGGAGGGGGACTCCGAGGCCACCGTCAACGTGAAAATTTTCCGTAAGAGAGCAGCTCTGAGGCTATTTTCTGGTCTACCTTGCACATGGATGAGGCAAGATTAAGGAGGCAAACATTTTTACCTTTCTAGGAAAGGTTATTTTCTAAAGGGGAAGAAGGGGGATGTTGAGAAGATGCTGCTTTCTCCTTTCTTAGCTTGGAGGGGTAAGTGGGAGCTAGGACCTTGGCCTGTCAGGGCATTACTGGCACATCTACTGTTTAAACTCTTCTGTGAGCCAGGAAAGCAAGAGGCAGAATGTGAAGATTCTAGCACATCATAATGTCTGGGAGGAGTAAGCAGAGAGAGCAGCTTTTGTGGATGATAGACATGCTATGTGATAAGACTAGCATTCAGTGAAAAGGATCACACATTCAGAAGTGTTATAATGTGCCATCAGCATGTTGTCCAGTAGAGCCATGATAGCAGCTCCTACCTTTCCTGTTGAATTCCCATTTTTCTCTTTGCAGTGTGGAGAAGCTGGTGAGATAAGCAGAGCTTTGATTTGTCCCACTGGTAGGCAGCACTGGAAGGCAGGGCTGGAAAGTGGGATTACTCTGTCACAGCACATTGTGGCAGGCACACTTTTATGTTTCTCTCAGGAACAAGATTTCTAGAGAACATGTCCTCTGAGGTTTCTTTGCTTTCCTCAGGCTTGAGTCAGGAGCACAGCTTGAGGTATGCTGAGAAAGCTGAAGTGACTTCTCCTTCTGTGTTTTCAGAAAAGCTGATGTTCAAGAATGCTCCCACTCCTCAGGAATTCAAGGAAGGGGATGATGCTGTGATTGTGTGTGATGTGGTCAGCTCACTGCCTCCTACCATCATCTGGAAGCACAAAGGCAGGGATGTTATCCTAAAAAAAGATGGTAAGGCATTGTCCATTCGGGGTCAAATGCCCATCTCCCATCAGGGCTCAAATCAGGCTTGTGAAAGGGGGTTCAGGAGAACAAAATGGTGGTAACCCCATGGGAGGAGTGAAGCAACTTGTACCTAATGCTGTATACTAGGGTGTGAATTGAGTTGTTCTGGGTGCTGTGGTTTGGGAATGGCAGGGCAATAATGTTGCTATAGAAATGGCCATTGGGAATAGGCCAAGGAATGCTAGAAAACATTTTTGTTTAAAAGAAATGCCATCAGACAGAAACATCTGCATATCGTGACACTCTCCATGCTCCCTAAGGAAAAGGGGCTAAGACCTCCTTGCAAGAACCTTTACTCTTTCTTTCAGAATGCTTCAGGCTGTCATGCCCAGAGGGGCATTTTACTGGCAGAGGGGACTTGAGAGCCCTGACTCCACTTGAGCATTCCACATCTGCTGGGTGCAGGCATAAGGGAACTGTAGCAAGACTCCAACTCTGCCACCCTTGGGCAAGAGGGGCAAGCTTCAGATTGCTTCTTGTCTGATACTAATGAAATATCTGTGTTTGTGTGTGTGTATTCATCTGTTTATCTCTCTGCGTGTACCTGGAGTATAAAGCACCAGAACAGTTTGCCTGCTGCCCACATCTCATTTCTGCTTGGCAATGTCAGATCCACTTAAACAGCAACTCCGTTAAATCATGGGAAAGGAGATTTTATTTCACTAAGCCTTGACTTAACCCAGAAGGGGCGAGTAGAGGAGAAGAACCTGTTATCTGCAGGGAGCTTTCCTCTGGATCTGTGAATGAACCTTCCTTTTGTCTTTTCTAGTTCGATTTATAGTCCTGTCCAACAACTACCTGCAGATCCGGGGCATCAAGAAGACAGATGAGGGGACGTACCGCTGCGAGGGCCGCATCTTGGCTCGCGGGGAGATCAACTTCAAAGACATTCAGGTCATCGTAAATGGTGAGCAGGTTAGAGTAAAGCAGGCTCACCTCAGGGCAGGGTATGCAGCACCTGCACTCCAGGCTGCTGGTGGAAATGGCACTTTAGATTCACACTCAGGATTTGCCATCAGCTCACTAAGCTTTGCTGTGTCAAATACAAACATCCACACGATTGACTGAGTGTTTGCCAGACCTTTGCAGGCAGCTGTCATGTCAGGAGGAACCTCACGTGTCTCGTGACTTAGAGTGAGGGACTGATCTTGTTTGGACTTTGAGGTGGTTGTGTACATAGTCCTGGTTTTCTGTGTGCCTCTCCACGCCTTGCCCTTCCTTCCCTGTGCTGCTTTGGAGAGCTCATGCATCAAACCTCTTGATTGAAACCTGCAAGTGATGGCATAAGGGCTTGAATTGCTAGTGACATCTGTGTGTATTGCAGAGATTTACAGTGAGCCTGCCAGGGCTCACTCTTGCTCACATCTTCTGTCCTTTCTAACTTGAATATGGATTCCTTCTCTTCTAGTACCTCCTTCTGTGCGTGCCAGGCAGAGCACTATGAATGCCACTGCCAACCTCAGCCAGTCTGTCACCTTAGCATGTGATGCTGATGGCTTTCCTGAGCCAACCATGACGTGGACAAAGTAAGATGCCGTGTGCAGTGTCCTGATTGTGTGTGAGCATGGGTGTTTTCACCAAGACCTGGAAAACCAGGTTGGAGAGAAAGCAGTGTTGAACTGGAATGAGATTAGTTTTTTGTCTCAGGAGAAAAAATGTCCTTGTAACAGAACTGTAGTTGGCTTCTGTTGTGGGTTAACCCTGTTAGGCAGCTAAGTGCCACACAGCCACTCACTGTATGCCCCTGCATGGGACAGGAAAGAAAATCGGAAGGTAAAATCCAAAAATTTGTTGATTGAGATACAGACAGTTTAATAGATAAAGAAAAAAGCTGTGCGTGCAAGTAAAGCAAAATAAGGAATACTTATACTGAAATACTTTCACTGGCAGGCAGGTGTTCAGCCAGGTCAGCTGTCCCAGCTTTGTCCTCTCCCAGCTTCTTGTGCATCCCCAGTGAACTTGCTGGCCACACAGCTGAGAAGCAGAAAATCCTTTGACACTGTGTGTATACTGCTCAGCAGCAGCTAAACCATCCTTGTCATGTGAATGCTGTTTGGGTAACAAACTCAAAACATAGTGCCATCATCTGTGAAGAAAATTAACTTTCTCCCAGCTGAAACCAGTACAGCTTCTTGGAAGAACAAGAATAACAGTAAAAAGAGCAATTTTTTCACTGTTTTCAGTGTCCTGTCACATCCTTTGTCAAGCTGCAAATAGAGATGAAGCTTCATGCTGACCAGAGCTGTCCCCTGCATCAGTTTATTATCATCTGTTGCACTGGTGGGGAAACTTAAGCAAAAGTGGATGCTGGAACTTGCATTTGTCATGCCAGGAGACCTGCATCTAGCGTATTTCCCTTTATTTCATCAGTTCTAAACCCCACTGTCAGGTAGACTTTGGAAGGTTATGAAGACAAGTTGTAACGTTGAAAAAGCTGATGACAACCAGGAGCACTGCCTTGATATGCAAGGACAGAAGCCACCTTCAGTGGTGTTTGTAGCTCTTGCATATAGACTATGGTGTGTGTCAGGAGGTGAAAGGTTCAGCTGCCAAGAGCCCTAAATCAGGAGGAATTAAGAATAGATCAAAATGCAAGCTTTGTAGCCTGTAGAGAAGGGAAGAGGCAGCAGTCCCTCAACCTGAGGAGTTTCAGTGTAGTAACACAGTTCTTGCAGTAGCAAGCCTAAACTCAATCGCCTTTGCTTGCTGCTTCTCCCCAACACAGCCAGTGTGCTTTGTGCCCTGCAGGGATGGAGAGACAATAGAAGAGGCTGATGATGAAGAGAAATACAGTTTTAACTATGATGGGTCTGAGCTCATCATCAAGAAGGTGGATAAGAGTGATGAAGCAGAATATATCTGCATCGCTGAGAACAAGGCTGGCGAGCAGGAGGCCACAATTCATCTCAAAGTCTTTGGTAAGCCTGCTCTCCCTGTGCCCTCTTTCCAGTTCAGTTGGCTATTGGTAGGTCACTAGTGCAAGCTGGAAGTAACCTGCTGATATCAGTTAGTACCTGATGTGGCTTACCTAGAGTTGTTTCTTTCCCAAGTAATGCTGTGCACCTCTGCCATCATGGCAGGCAAAATAGTTACAGTGTGTGTGTGAAACAGATGCCAGCATTGTTCCTTTGATAAAAGAAATTCCTCCCTGTGCAGAGGTGGTATGAAATACATGCTACTTGAAATAACTTCCAGGCCCAGAGGGCTGAATCCTAATCCAACCAAAGCTGCTAATAAAAAGGTTTTACCATTTCAGTGAGACTTGCAGTAACCTGGACAGGGAGGTGAACTCCAACTCATCGCTGTGTGAATTGACCTCAAGCTTGCAGGAATGTATCAGCAGCTTCCCTACCTGTCACAGATCTGGGAGTGTTGAGGAATATGGTTCACACTGTCCTTTCCCTCTGCAGCCACTTGACAAAGCTGCTTCTCAAAAGGCTTGTTTGGGGCAGAGAACATAGACAGCAAGATGGAAGATTTAGCCAACAATCCTGGAGACTGATCATTTGTATGCTGTTAAATGGGTTCTATTGCAGATACAACCTCTTCTAGTCCTCTCTTACAAGACTCAGCTGTAAGCATGTGTAGGAAAGATCTTCTAGTTCTCTAAGGAGGTATCCTCTTCTAAAAGGTCACTCTGCTCCCTTCCCCATAGGGCAGTTATCTTGTGCCAATTAAAAAGCCTTTTTTCCCCAGTGTTGCTTGTTTCAACCATTGCTGTTGACAGGCAAGCTTCATTCTGAGCACCAACTGAATGAAAGTTGCATTTTCTTCTCAGCAAAACCCAAAATCACCTATGTGGAGAATAAAACAGCTATGGAGCTAGAAGATCAGATCACGCTGACCTGTGAGGCATCTGGGGATCCAATCCCTTCCATCACCTGGAGAACTTCCACCCGGAACATCAGCAATGAAGAGAAGGTATAACTCTTCCCAAACCCCTGGTTTCAGTTGCTGGGGTCAGTGCAACTGGTATCTGCCTGTCTCTGCTGATCCAGAGTGCATGATAGCCACACACAGAGGCAGATGGAAATCATGGTGATTCACCTCTCTAGTGAGAAGTTGTGCAGTCTTGCAGACTCTCAGCTGAAGGGTCAGCTCCACAGCTGCAGTAATGCCATAGGTGTATTTTTATATAAAGAGCCAACTCAGTTTGTAGCAACTGAGGACAACTTTGTAATTCAATCTGATATCACTGGAGGGAATTAACTTGAAAAGCACGAGGCCCTGGACCCTTTTCAGAGGAGTTTCCAAGGGGACCTACAGTTGCAGGAAGCTTGCAGAAGGGTTTTTCCCTCCTGTTTCCAAGCTGAGAGGTGGGAATGAGCACCCTGATTCCACTGTTGTCCACGCTGTCATGATGATGATGATGTGATCTGGGAGGGTGGCAGGTGGAGAGGTGTGGGGTATTATCTCTCAGAGATGCAGTGGACCAAAATGAGCCTGTTAATTCCTTCTTGCCCTTCTCATACTCTATTCTAATACTGCATGTATCTGAAGCACAAAAGCTTGGCTGCCTTTGTGTTCACTTGTTTTGTTGATCATGTCAATACCATTTTGTTCTTAAAAGGCAAAAATAATTAGCAGTTTGTCTTTTGAAAGAGTGCTGGTTTTCGTGATTGGCCACAATTCCCCTTTACTAGACAAGATTAGGATGTGTTGTGTTACTGTAGATACTTCATAATAGTTGCAGTAGGTGATGAGAGGCATAGTTTAGAGCCAATGAAAGCCTAGACAAAGGTTGGAGTAAGGAGTTGTTTATTAATAATCTTCTAATAACAGGATACTTCAAGGCTCAGCTAAGTTGCATGTACCAGCAGTTCTCACTTGACACAAAGGCAGCAGTTGATAGATAATGAAAGTCTTAAAGCAACAGAGGTGTCCACTGTCAGTCATCCACACAGCTGCCACTCTGCACTGTGGCCTCCTAAATAAGCTTTTTTAATTGCTCCATGATGTCAGCTCTTCACCATGTTGTTAGTGTGTAACTTATTAATCAGGGGGACAAAGTTTTCCAGCCTTCATTCTTTCTGAGCATCTTTGATTTGAGGACTAGTGTAAATCTCTGCAATGTTTAGAGAGAGATTTCCATTGCCTTCAAAAACTGTTGGCTTGGGCTCTCACTACAGCATGACTGGGGGACTTGTTTTGACAGGAGAAGGTTATTCATGGTCTTGTCTCTGTGGGAGAGCAGTGGGAGGAGCTAAGTGCTGTAGTGCATACAGCTCTAGAGTTTGGATCACAGCCAAGGAAAAGAGCTTTGACAGGGAGAAGAATATAAGAACTGAAAATAACACTAACTCAAGTAGAAGTCAGTAGGAGGGCCTGTTTGCAGAGTCCCATCTGTCCAGTGCAATTAAACTAACAAGATCTCAGTGGCAAAACTGCTAACCATTTTTGAGACTCATGTATCCTGCTTGATGCTAAGTTGGTGATCAGTATTAAGGGAAATATTAATACTCTGATAGTTTCTTATTTAGATGGGGGGAATACCAAAGGTTTGAGGTACTGCTACTGTATGTCTCATGTACTCGTTCAAACCTTCAGGGCACAGACTATTTTTTATTTGTTCATTAGATACAATGCAGTTTGTAGGCAGGATTTTTTTGTGTTTTGGTTTGGTTTGATTTGACTTTTTCTCCATTCTCACATGGTGTAAATTGAGGTGAACGGTATAGATGTCTAGAAAATCTTCAGGTCAAAATAGTTCTGATAAATATTCTATTACATGTACAACCAAGTGCAAATATTCACTTTACTCTTACTGTCTGTAGGACAGCACAGGGAAGTGGATGACCTTTGATGTGAGACATGCAATACTATTTTTAAAATTATCAAGCCCTACTTTTGAATATGCTTTAGGTGCTCAGATGCATCTGTCTTGCTACATGTTGTTTACTTTTGTAATTATACTTCAGATTTTTAAAGGTCTAGAGGTCCCTTAACTCCCATAAGCATTGGTACTTCAGTAAAACCTACCCAAACCCCCAAACAAACCCTCTCTGGCTTAGAGGTTTTTTTCCCCTCTCAGTCTTTGTCCAAGAGCAGTGGCAGTCTGACATGTGGACAAGGGGCAGGAGGTGCTATAGCCCAAACACCGAGGCTGACAGTGTCATAGCTATTTCAGCATTCCCCTGCCTCCCCTAGAGACCTCTTGGTATCCTGGCATGCAGAGCAAAAGCTTCTCCTCTCTGTGGCTGTGCCTACCTGATGTGGCACTACTTTGACAAACAGTATTTTGCTTTGAGGATGGTGTGCAGAGCTAAGCAGTTAGGACTGCTATAGCAAAATCAGGTGATTAGCAACTGCTCACCAACACAGATGAGCAGAGCAAACTTCCAGATACAGGCATGGTGGAAGCTTCCTCTTGCTCTTAAGCTGGCAGCTTGCATTCTTCTGCCCTGCAGAGTGTGCAAATCAAATACGTGCTTTGCTTTGGCTGTGAGTGTAGGAACATGCTACTTAGGAGAACATTTTGGCCTGTCAGTCTAAGATTCAGGTCTATCACTACTGCAGAACACAGCAAGAACTAAACGGCCTAGAGGGTCATCAGCATGATGGTTTCAAATGCTTTGGCTTTATCTTTCCTCGAGTGTTTATTGCTGTGTCATTTTAGGGAGGAGGAATGCCTCCTCTTTGAATGATACCAGATGAAAAGCTGACCAAGCCACTGTGCCATATTCCTTCTCACTCTCAATATAATTTGTGTCCTTGTAAAAGAAGACATTTCTTTTATTGCTCTAGCAGAATGCTAACTGTGATTCAGTAAATCTGTTGTGCATTGGTGTATACAAGTTTTTCAGTTTCAGGGCAGACATGAGTGTGCTTCCTGTCAGATTTTTGGATCAGGCAATCACTAATTGCTCTTAAACACACGTTCATGAAACAGTTGTGGAGACAGTCCCAGGTTTCTCACCCAGCAGGATAGCTCAGTGTGTGAGGAGTGGGAGGGGTAACCAGTGGTGCTTTTATACAGGCCTTTTATCATCTTGCCAGAGCTGGCAGTAGGTATATCTGTGATGTAGGACCTCACTCAGTACTGCTGTCTGGCACTCCCATGCTAGCTGTCAGGGCCTGCAGCATGTTACCTTATTCTCTACAGCAAATCAAAAATCAAGTGCACGTTTTGCTGTGTGAAATAGCCAAATATTCTGATGATGTGAATGAGCATTGTTGCAGTACCTTCAGCAAAGTGCTTCTAGATGTGATGCAGCAGATCTAACATTTCAAATTATAACCCAAGTTTAATTTCCTGATACTGTTTTTTAAGTGGACAGTATTATCTTGAATACAATCCACTGTCTAAAATTTGTGTTGTGCTTTGTATGTCATGAGATGTACATGGGAATACCATTGGATTTACCAGGGAGTAAACTACATTGGCAGTTCCTAGGAACTCCCTTATAACTGAAGGTGCTCCCATTTAACAGCTTGCTTCCAAAGGTATGGGGAGTCACTAGCGTGCAGGAGGCTCTTGGTTCCCCTCCATCCCCTGTATGCTGCTGAGTGGAGCTTACCTATCTTTTTGTCTTGGCGAGGGAGCATTACTATGAAGTGCTCCAGGATGGGGAATGTGGTTCTGGCTTTTTTCCCCACACCAACAAGGGCTGTTACAAAGAAACAACAAACTACAGGAGTGTGGGAACAGGCTTTGTTTCTTCTTTCATCTTCCTTTAGGTTGGCAGATACTGAACATCAAAGGATAAAAAGATGTCTCTTTTTTTTTCTCCCATTTTTTTTTTTTCTAAAATTCCTCTGTTCTGACAGCATAGGGAGTCAGGGAATAGGATTGAAAGGAGACTTGCATAGGCATAAGCAAGGCAGTTCCTTAACTACCTTGGCTTGCTCATGTATAGAGAATAACTGGTACATCAAAAAATGATTATGCTGAACTATTATGGTTGCCTGTTTAGCTTTCAAGGAACTTGTGCACAGCAGGATATATAGACACAGAAATGATCAGATGATGGGAGTGTCTTAGCCCATGCAGGTGTTGGTAAGCTGCTCTTCAGGTGGCTTCACCTCAGGCCTCTAGTTACAAGCAAATACCTTGCTTTTATCAAAGACATTCTAAAAGGAGGCTGTCTGTACCATATGTTAGTACTTAACTCCCACAGTGTTCACTGGAAGCACTGTGGAAGCAATACTATGGTTTTTATTCCCATTTCCTAAGCTTTCATCTCCATTTCTGTAATGTTTCTCTTGTGTATGGTGTTGTACCCACACGTCAGCAGTGCTTGTGCCTCATGTTCAATAGTGCTGTTGTGGCTGTGATATTAGCAGGTCATTTTTGACTCCTGAACTGGAATGGATCAAGTTGCAATTGAAATACAGGACACAATAAAAATATTCAAAGGATAAATTATAGGGGGAAACTGGAAGCCAGCAACTTTGGTCTTTGTGAGGCACAGTGAGTGCAGTCCATGCAGTTGGTGGCTTTCTCTGAACGGGGAGTGTGTGCTTGTTTGTAAGGTCTGTGCATGTGCCACTGATGCCTGTTGTTCACTTGTCCCAAGCTTGGTAAAGTTTGGGTGCACACATCCCTGAGCATAATGAGCTGAACGTTATCAACTGGAGGTAGGAGGTTCTGCCCTGCTGTCTCCTGTCCAGGGGTGGGTCGTGCTGTTTCAGTGCTCTGCAGCTCAAGGTCTCCTGGCACAGTGTGCATGTCAAACCCTGTACAGATGCATGCCCAGGTTAGCCATGGAGTGTTGATGTTACTCAGTGTGTGCGGGTGGCTAACGAGCCAGCATCAGAAGAACAGCTCCTAACAAGCTTTGCAGTTTAGTGACCTGGGTCATCAGAATCCCTTCCCCTGTATGCTGGGAACAGCTTTCTGGAAAGGGTGAGATGTGACAAAGGGAATAGTTAGTATGTAAAAACAGAAGCAGCCTTTAGGTACCATAAGTCTTTGTTTAATCATTTTAAGACTAGTTTTATAGGATAGTAAATTTTGAATGCAAATCTAAATTGAGATTATGTTGGGAAGTGGAAATTGTCATCATCCCACACACATTGGATATACAACTTGGAGCTTGCATGTGCACAGAACGCAATGTGGTGCATACACTATGATACTTAAAAGCAATCTTTGATAAACTTTTATTGCTTTTTTTTTTTTCTGTTGTTGTGTTCTATATCTGTTCTCTCCAGGCTTCGTGGACCCGGCCCGAGAAACAAGAGGTATAAGATTACCAGACCTTTAGCAAACTTAGTTTTTTGGTTTTGGTTTTTTTTTAAGCATTACAGATTAACAAATCTCTAGTCCAGTAACCACGCCAACTAAACCAGCATTAATAATATGAACAAATTAAATATCAATACATAAAAGGAACAGCTTATAGAGTTAGAAGTTGCTTGGCATGTAGTAATGCATTTTTGGATGAGCAAACTAGCTGAGTTGGGAGTCAGGAATTCTGGTTGTCACTTAAAAAAACAAAATTAAAAATAAAAGCAAATGTAAAATCTGACAAATACTTCTCTCACCATTTTTTTTTTTTTTCTGTGCTGCTAGCATGAGTTGTATCTCTCTTCTAGAGTTCTAAGAATTAGCAACAGTGTGTACTCTGGGAAAGTGTTTTTTTTTCTGAAGATAGCCTCTTGCACTCCAGCCAACTCATCTGTTTGCTCATGGTACTCCTTTAAGTTTGACTTTCTCTTAAAGGACAACTGCATCATGTTCCATTTTGAAATCAATGCAGATAAATCTTTCACAAGTTCTATTTCTTCAGAAAATGCTCCAAATTGCTAGATTATTATTTATCTTTGATTTGCAGGGGTCAGTGGGGAGGTGTGGGATGACTCAGGAACTCAGTTTGGTGCAAATGTGTTTTGTTGTGGTTTTATTTTACATTCAGTGCTGTATTTTAAAAATAATACTAACTTACCTTTACACTCACCTGATTTGTAGCATTTTTGCTTCAAAATGGCCCAGAAAGTATGTTTCCAAGGAAGGACTAGGGGTCAGATAGAGAATAAAATTAGTGATCAGAACTGGGTGAGTCGTATTTGTATTTTTAGGAGGACCTTTTTGGAGACTCTGGGTATCCAGAATGAATTCCTGTCTATTTGAAAGCAGTCTTAAACCACAGAGACTGGTATGGTGTAAACAAGGTGAACCTCTTAACTGGAGAACCATCTGCCTTTGTTTCCTGTGGGGCTGAGAATGTACTGCCCATTCTTACTTCAGAATAATCTGTTGGAAGAGCTGAATTGTGGCAACCAAAGGCCAGATGTTTAGAGCAGTTTGCTTTGAAGAATTGGAATTTGAGTAGTTGTATCTCTTCAGGCCCTGTGTTAATTCTTGTTATAGTTGTCTCCATCTTGCCTCCTTCCTGCCCCCCCTGCTCAGTGTTTTCACTATTCTGTCTCAAGCTTTTTACTAATATGAGCACTAATACCATAAAGTTTGCTGTCTTTCAATTTCTTACTGAGTTCTTGTCTTAAAATATCTGTGGGGTTCTGTGAGCATGTTGTTGAAGCTTATTGTAGCAGCTTGTGTAGACATATCTTTCAAACAGCCAGCATGGGGTCTTTCAGCAGTGTATTCCAGCAGCAGGGAGTTTGAGTCTCAGGAGGCTGTGTGAATACTTGGCATTAAATGTTTCACTCTTACTAACACATTAGCTAGTTTAAAGTAAGGAAGCCTCTATGAGGTTCCATCATAGCAGCATGTATGGCAGTTAAATCTTGCTTCCCTTGCTTTGGAGGTGCTATTGCAGTTGACTGCTTCCTCTAAACCATCATCAGCTTGGCTTACTAGGCACAGTCCATGTCTCAGTTCACCATTCTGGTCCTGCATGTAGTGGAGAATTGTTGAAAATTGAAAGTCATATTGGCAGCATATGCTAATGTAAAAAAAAAAGAAAAAAACCAAAACCCCCACTCCCCAACAACAACAACAAAAAAAAAACCCAACCCAACAACAAGAACAAAAAAAACACACACAAAAAAAAATCACCAAAAAACTATCACCAACAGATGCTAAACAACAACAACAACAAAAAAAAAACAACCCAACAACAAGAACAAAAAAACCACACACACAAAAAAAATCACCAAAAAACTATCACCAACAGATGCTAAAAAACTCAGTTGCAAACAAAATTACACCTCAGTTGCACCACAAACTGGTGATGCCTTTCTTGCAACTGGGAGTTAGTGCAACTCCACAAATATTAAGAGCTGTGTATAAGTTCTCAGTGCAGTGCAGGCACAGAGCCAGGAGAGACTGCTTGTCTTTCTTCACTGGAGTTTGTAGCCATGGTCAGGATTTCTGGGTGCAGTGTCGTAATGTTGTCCACTATGTGGAAAGCAGGTGAGGAGAAGATACAGCTGTGTGAAGTTAAGTCATGGATGTGAAAGGACTGAAAAATTCAGCATGCAGATGGAAGGGAGGGTAGATGCATTTCCTGCTTGTCTCTCCTCTTACCCCTTGGCACTACAGTACTGAAGTGCACACCAGCTCTGTACACAGTGCCTACATGCCACATGGCATTGTCAGAATTTGGAGAGAAACACCTTCTCAGGACAAGTTGTAACCAGCGACAGGGTGATACAGGAACCCTCATACCCTTTGCTGTAGACCAGCAGTTGCTGTGGTGTGAGTTGCTGCCTGTGTCCCTTAGGTTGTCTTCCTGTTACTATGAAGCATTTTGGTGTCCAAAATCCTTAAAATCAAAGAGACGAGGTGAAGGGATGGCAAGTGTCCACAGTGGCCTCACAAGTTGCTACCTATCCTACATCTCTAACAGCCAGGAATTGTTAGCACCTGATGGTCTCAAATATGAAGAAAACTAACGTGCTTTCTTGGGTAGACATTTTTCTCTTCCCTGGAGTGTTTTTCCTGATCTTTTTTTTTCTTGTGCCTTTTCATTAAGAAGCAGAGCTTCATCCTGACTTTGTTGCATCACTTGTAAAGATGTTATTTTCCCATGACTGCCTAGTGCTCTCTTGTTTGCATTAGATCTTGACCAAGTGGGGAAAAGGCAAATGACAACAGATGTGAAATTACCTTTGCTGTAATGACCACGTGCTGGTGTTTTGCCATGTTTATACCCATGCCTGTTAATGGGGTCATAGAGACAAGTATTTAGAATATTCACCCACCTCAGAGTTAGAAGAGGCTGGGAGCCTCTGCAGATCTGGACTCTTGACATTTATGGATCCTACTGCAGTAGTTTCAGAATTGAGCTGGGTTTTGGCAGCCAATCAGAAGTAGGACAAAAGGATAGCAATATAGCCAGCCAGTGAAGAAAGAGAGAAGCAGAATTTGATGTGTGAGATAACACAGTGAACTAATGTCACATTAAAGGATTCTTCCCTGGTTCCAGGAAATGCTCACAACACCACGTGTACGTGAAATAAAGAACTGTTCCAGCAGCACAAGGGACTGAGCACAGGAGTAGCAGTTTAGTTTGTAACTTGTGGCATCAGTTAAGGATTGCAGTAGATGTGCTTGCAGGGTAGAAGAGAGACGAAAAATACATGTAATTGGGTTCATGCCATCAAAGGATACTAGCTTGATGCATATTGAAATTTGACTAGTTCAAATGAAATAATATTCAGAACTAACAGTTACCTGTAGAAAGCTTGTCAGTCTCAGAGACTGAGACCTCTAGCTGAAATAAAAGAGCCCTCAGGCCCAGCGGAGGAGAGCACTTCAGGTACTGGAGATGCACTTGGTGCTACAGCCCAGTGCATTTGGCTGTTTAATATCCTCATGGGTTTCATTGATAATCTCAGTACTTGTCCTGCATCTCCCAAGAAAATTAATGTGCTTGGAGCATTGCTTTCATTAAGCATGGCAGGCTACCAGCAGCAGGCACAGCCATGAAGGTACCTAATTATTCCCTTGTGCTTGTGCCACTTGGGAAACTAGATAAGAGAGGTGGTGTTCTAAAGCTTCCAAGGAAAGCACCAGGATGGAGGGAGGAGTCCATTGCATTATGCAGCTCATGTGAGAGAGCACTCGGGCTTCTGTCACAAATTGAGAGTTAAAAAAAAAAAGGTTATGTGGGATGGGGTCTCTGGGTGGCTGCAGTTCCCTTGAGCAGATGATAGCTTGGATTCTGCATTTCACAAGGAATCTTCTTGTTGCTTTTGGAAGGTGCTTCTCGTGAGGCAGACTTGCACCATAGACTTGAACCTCTAACTCTCTTTTCCTTTCCTGCCAGACCCTGGACGGGCGCATCATAGTGCGTAGCCATGCCCGCGTGTCGTCCCTGACCCTCAAAGAGATTCAGTACACAGATGCTGGAGAATACGTGTGCACAGCCAGCAACACCATCGGGCAGGACTCCCAAGCCATGTACCTTGAAGTGCAGTGTAAGAAGTAGAGGACGGGGTGGGGAGAGTGTTCACGTGTTTATAAGGGGGGCTGTTTGATTTCCTTTTCTTGTGATGAGACTGAGACACCTACAGCTATGGCAATGTGTGGTGTTTAGATAGAGGGCATGGGTAGGAACAGCCTGGAATAGTTTTGTTGGAGGCATGTTGCTGTGTTCATATGTGTAAATGTTTGGTCTAGCTGTCTCCAGCTGGGATACTGTTTGCACCTCGGGAAGATGATGAGCCGTGAATTTGCCACAGACCCATCTGTTGGGTGCATCAGAGTTCTTCAGGAGAAATTCCTCATATGCACTTCCATAGATACACAGCATGCTGTCTGCTCCTCTTCCCACACTGCATTAGGAGCAGCCTTTGGGACCGAGTAGGCTTCCTCCTCCATGTCCTTCAGAAAAAGACACCACCCATCCTCCCAGATGAGAAGACAACTTATATTTCCTATGTTAGGTTCCCATTCCCACATTGAATTGGACTCAAGCCATTGGATCCTTAAAGTGAGGCTAACTGCTCTACTCTAGATTTTCTGACTCAAATTGCCTTCACAAATGTGTCTGTCTTTCAGATGCTCCCAAGCTTCAGGGCCCTGTGGCTGTCTATACCTGGGAAGGGAATCAAGTGAACATCACCTGTGAGGTATTTGCTTACCCCAGTGCTGTCATCTCCTGGTTCCGGGATGGACAGCTGCTTCCCAGCTCCAACTACAGCAACATCAAGATCTACAACACTCCGTCAGCAAGCTACCTGGAGGTGAGGAGAAGCAAGGAGGGGAGAAGGCATATGAGGTCAGGGAGGGTCAGTGCTACCAACTAATTTATGTTCCTGATGTTGAAGGAGTCAAGTTTTTTTTTCGTCAGGGCACCCTGCTAGATAAGAAATTGTGTGGTGTTTCTGGCACATAATACGAAGAAAATTAGGGACTGGAAGACACCACCCCATGCTTGCCTCTGACTTTCTGCCTGCTACAGTTCTGCCCCCTGTGGACAGCCCTCAGGATGTGAGTGTGTGTACTTCATTGTGGCTTCTCTCCCCAGCAAAACACAGAGTGCATTGACAGGGTGAAAAGGGTTTTCTGACCCAAGCATGAGCCTTCATTCCTTCCACAGGTGACACCAGACTCTGAAAATGACTTTGGGAACTATAACTGCACTGCTGTGAACCGCATTGGCCAAGAGTCCTCCGAGTTCATTCTTGTGCAGGCAGGTGAGCACCTCGGGCAGGGAGGTCAGGAAATGTGTGTGCAGTCCTTGAGCTGAGGTGACAGGGTGACTGTTCCTTTCTAGTTTCTGTTGATGGGTGTGCAGGAGAGCCCGCTTCTGTCAGAGACTGTTCCTAGATTTTTGCATTCAGACGGGCTGTGGATAACAAGATCCTCTGTCTCTGTTTCTGTGTTTCTGAAGGGTCTCGTTCTTTTTTGCGCTTCCAGCACTGGGCAGATGTGGGTGCATGTGCTTCTCAAATCAGCAGACTAGCCCCAATGGCACAGGTAGTGAAGATAGATACCTCTGAGCACTGTGTACCAACAAAGGCCCAGTGTCTGACTGCATGACAGACTGGAAGGGCCTCTGTGTCCTCTTTGGGCTCCCATAGAGACATATTTAGGAATGGTCAAGTTATGTACTAGAGCACACTATGGAAGACACTAATGGGATAGAATAGTGTCCAAGATGCTCTTCCTGTGGTTGACCCCTTTTGGAGAAGGTCCTGTGAGTAGGTAGACTTTTAGAGGAGAGATGAGATGGAGGCCTTAGCACTGTCTAATTAGGATTCTGAAAAGCCCTCCTTATGGTCTTCCTCCTGAAGGGACTGTGGGGCTCACCCATCTCCTCTCCATTGCTGAAGCCGTGGCAGAGGTGTGTTTGGCATTGCCAGCTGCCTGTTCCCTTTGCACTGGAGCTTGTCTGCTGCTGTCTTGTGGTCACTGGTTGTTCTCCCTTCGTCCCCCAGATACTCCGTCCTCTCCTTCCATTGACAGAGTGGAGCCCTACTCCAGTACTGCCCAGGTGGAGTTCGACGAGCCCGAAGCCACGGGCGGGGTGCCCATCCTCAAGTACAAAGCAGAGTGGAGGGCACTAGGGGAGGGAGAGTGGCATTCCAGGCTGTATGATGCAAAAGAAGGTAGGATGGTAAAACAGATTGTTACCTCCCCCACCTACATTTAAAAGACTTTCTTTCCTTCAGGGGAAAGTCAGAGTGGAGGTTTCCATGGTTCTGCAATTTCAACTCCGATGTTAAGGCTCAGACAAGTTCTTAAACGTTTGCTTTGGTTCAGGTGACACCTTGAATTTCTAGCTGGAAATGAGGGCCCTGCTGTGTGACAGCTACACGTGTGTGACAAGGCACCAGTTTTCTCCAGCTGCAGAGTGTGGATAGCAGCACCTTGCTCCTCTCCGTGTTCCTTCCTCGTTCACACTATTCTGTATGAGTAAGGTGAAGAACCCTGTGCCTGGTATCAAATGAGGTGCCACTTGCTGACTGGGGACTGACTGTGTGCTTCCTATGGAAAGCTTTTCAAGCCGTGTCTGTCAGCCCATTTAGTTCCCCCTGAAACATAAACCCTCCTATGCCAGAAGCAAGTCTAACTCCTATTACACTCTGTCTTCTTACACACTGCTTAAAATGTATCCTTAAGTCCAGCAAACCAAAGGAATTTTGACACGGGAGAATTGTGAACAGGAGAGTGCTATTTTGGAGTTGAATCTTCCACTGTCAGTCCTGGCTGGAACTGAAATTCTTTTAGGTCCCTACTAGAGTCATGTAATCTTAGGCAGAGTCAAGTTAATTATTCTCATTTCTCCCTTTGTGTCTGTGCAGCAAAAATAGACCTTGTTTTTTACTTTGTATCTTGATAATTCCATATCAGGTTCTTTCTATCTCTTTACGTTGTGTTTGACCTCCTTATGTATTGTTAAAGGAGAGAGATGGGCTACTGTCCTGCCCAGGGCTTTGCTTTTAGTTGGATCATGCAGCCCAACAGATGAGCAGTTCTAGGTGGTATATCTGCTACAATCAGAGCCCCACACAACAGTGGTCTTGTAGAGCATTACTTAGGGAGCTCCTTGGCACAGACAAAGGGCTGATGCCCTCTGGTGTATACCACGAGCTCCACTACATCCCCTTCAGAGAGGCTGTGCCAATACACCTCTCTAGTGAGCTGGCTTGATGCAGAGGTGATAGCTCTGACCTCCCTCTTTGTCTGCACTCTGCATGTGGGGCTGGGCCCAGGAGAGGGCTCTGTTACAGGGTGAGTGTGGCAAAAGTCACCGATGGAAACATGGTGTTTCTTGTTGACTTAAAGCCTGAGCCTTTCTTTGCTTTTCCTCCTTTGTTTCTGCAACAGCAAACGTGGAGGGCTTGATCACTATCACTGGCCTGAAACCTGAAACAACCTACTCTGTGAGACTCTCTGCTGTCAATGGCAAGGGTGTGGGTGAGATCAGCCTACCCTCCGACTTCAAGACACAACCAGTTCGTAAGTAAAATTGAGACCTCCCTCTGATTCTCTGGTTCTCTTTCCTTGCATCTTTCCAGGGAATCCTTGCCATGCATGGATGACACCTTCTCTTGCAGACCTTGCTGCACCCTGTTTTTTGTTGTGCTTTTGGATTGTAGTGAATTTCATTACTAATTAACAGTATTCTTTGAAGGTAGGAGGCAGAGAAAGTATTTTATTTACACCAGTTTGTGCTCTGGGTTACTAGTATAAACCTGGTATTGTCAAAGAGAAGGGGCTATGCAATAGAGTGTTGATAAGGCAAAGCAGCAAGTTGAGAAGGCAGAATGTCATGTCATTGTCACAAGGCAGGGTTTTTT